GGCGGGGCAATGATATAAATGAGTAAAGGGGGGGAAACAGTGAAAAACAAAACAAAACAAAACATGATAGTAAGAGCCCAAAACAAAATCAAACTGCAATAAGAATAAAACATTGTCATGTCAAATTCCTGCAATATAGGAAAATTAGGTAGAGTTAAGAAAGTACGTTATTATCAATTTTACCTGATTTATGTTTTCATTCCATACATGATCAAGCATATAACATCATATTAAATATACGTATTACACGCATATACAACACATTTTCTTAATATTTGTGTACATGTTATTTTGTACCGATATAAACATGTGTGTGTGTGTGTGTTTGTGAGGGTGAAAAAGTACCACAGTAAAGCTATTACAAACTCTAGTATCCTATTAACGGCAATGTACAGGATCAAGTTAATTCTAATGAATGTTTAACAAAATTGTAAGTTTAAGTAAATAGTAAGCCTGACTGACTGGGTGAACAGAGTAAAAGGTTACTCTCGGCGTGTTTGGCATTTGCTTGAACTTGAAAAGAAGGCAAAATACAAACCGTCAGCAAACTGTCTAACCATTCTAAGCTCAGAAAAGCAATATTTTTTTTCTTCAGGAAAACGAAACCAAAAAAATTGTTTTTCATTCATTTAACAAGAGTAAGTGTACCCTCTCCATTGATCTTTTCACCCACTCTATTGATCTTTTTATGCTTTTTATCAAAATTTAGAACTTGAATTCTGACAAAAAATTTCTTGAGCTCATGCAGCCAATACCAGAGATTAAGAAACAGCAATTTAAAAAAAAGCCCCCAAAACAACCTAAATACTGGTCTTTGTATATCTGAACAGCCGGCCGACCAAACTCTTTTTTTGTTGTTGTTTATTACGTTCTAGTTTTATCACATAGACAATGAGTCACATCCATCTATTCTCATTGTTCTATATATCATGATATTCTACTTTAGATCGTGTCATAACCGCGAGGACACAGATTTTCATCAACCTTTGGCCAGGTTGTTAAATAAACAATGTTCAAATTCCCTCACAGTATAAATATGAGACACTGAAAAAAGTTGAAAAATGTAAAAAAAATAGTATACATTTAATATTTCATTTAAATTAGCGACATTATCGACACATTCAGAAGTCATATCTGTTCAGTATCTGAAATGTCTATTTTGTAGCATAAGAAAGAATAAATAATAAAAGAGAGAAAATTGTGCATGTACACTTTCTATGGAAAAGATATATTATATAAATGGCCAAATCCGTTTAGATTGAGTTTCATGTAAAAAACAGAAGTTCTTTATAAAATTGCGTCACAGTCAGCTTGAAAAACTGAGAGCCTTAAACAAAACACAAACGAACATGTTTCTTTATCGTAACCACCACAAGTGGCCTCTGTCTAGGGTTAATCACAGCTTGTTCAGATAATATGTGACCTTTGACTCGATTTCCTTGCCCTGCATGGTATGCTATAAGTTACAGGCGACAAGCAGATAGTTAGAGAACGTTAGGAGTACGCCATTGGCCGATATTTATAGTAACAGCCATCTTGTTTGTGTCATAAAATAGTGTTCCCCATTCTGACAAAAGACAAAAGAAGTTCCAGACCTACTGTCTCACTGTCTGACCTGAAAAAAAAATGTGGAGTAAAAAAAGAAAGCTTTTTTGTTTTCATTTTAGCAAAGTGTTATGATAATGCTCATTATTTTATGTATGTTAAAGAATAGGTCAAACAAGATGGCTGTTACTATAAATATCGGCCAATGGCGTACTCCTAACGTTCTCTAACTATCCGCTTGTACTTACAGGCGTCTGTGGTGTAGTAGTTATACAATTCGCAATCGCACGAAGGAGACACGAGTTCGATTTCCGTATGAGGAGAATATCTATCGAGTACTTCCATGTTTCTGCTGGGAGATCGTATCCCTCTGAGCTCTCATTTCGTCTAAAAGGCAGGCTCTAAGTAGCCCGCCTCCTAAATGTGAGTTATCGTGTTGAAATCAGGCACTCGTCAATTTTTGGGCATTTAGAGTTATTGGTATCATCTTAAAGCTTGTTCATTAGTCTTGCTTTGGAGGAAAAAGATCTTCATTTATTTTGAATACAAATCGAGATATTTGCAAATGAAGGATGTGGGGGTCACCTGGTTGCAGAGGTAATATTAGTGAGAAAATGACCACCAAAGATAAGTCATTTCTTTAGCTTGAGAGTCTGTGGAAACTGAATACTTACTTTTTTGTGCCTTTAATCAACGTTTTCCAGTAAAATCTACACAGAAATGTGTTCTTTAATGGACATGAAAGGTGTTAAGCCAAAAAGCAACAACAAAATTTCGATAAAAATTCACAATCCTTGGGAAAAATACTTGTTTCTTCACTTTGATTATTTTGACAAGCGCCTGATTTCACCTCACTGCCTCACAAATTATGATCTAGATCTTGACTGTTTCGATGGTGACGTAGAACGTCTATAGTTATTCATGGTGCGAGTTGAAAACCACAACTGTAAGCACTGAATGGCCCTCCTTCATTTAGCTAGATCTATAACGTCTATCACTGACTGAGTTATTACGAGTGAGCGAAACAGTTTTTAAACCCCCTTCCTCCCCTCCTCTCCATTCCTCTGCTCCAAGGCTGGCGGTTTACAGTAATGTAGAACAAAAACATCTTGGTAAACCATCCATCTAGTACAACAAAAAACATCACCGTAGGCCATCAATTAGACTAGTAATTATGACTTTAAAAAAGATTAATAAACAAAATCTGGAAACTATACCATTACTGTAAAAACGGCAGAAATATTGTGAAAGTATTATCCAAGAAAAAATGTATAACAAAATTACGTTTACATTGTAAGCGGTTTAAAAAACTTATATACAAAGTTAATGATATAACGATTGACGGGCACACTGGTTTTTAGGTAATGCATATATCAGAGGAGACTGTAAGGAAAAACATTACTTGAGGATGGACAAGCATAAAGAGAACGGAAAAAAGCAGAGAAAAATAAAACGCTTAAGAGAGTAACATCGACCGAATACAGTGAGAGTAAGAGTAAAAAACGAAACGAGAGAGAAAGACGAAAAAACCGATAATAAATGTATATATATATA